GGTCTGGTGTCACCCATTCGTCCTTGCGGTGAGGGCTTTGCAAGGTGACAGAGCGTTTCTTGTTTCTCCCAAGAGGAAAATCCTGACCTGTTTTTTGGGAGGAGATGGTGTGAAGTGTCACATTTGCTGCAGGGAGCAGGGATAAAAGCATGGAGCAAGCTGAGTTTGAGAACAAGCTCATCCCTTGCTGCTGCCTGAAATGGGAGAGCTGCTGGATCTGCTCCTTGGCCAACGCTCTCCAGCTCTCCTCACCCTCCCCAAATCCGATATGCAAACCGTCATTTCTCTGAGCTAGCCAAAGCACCCCCCTCCCCTGAGCTCCTCCGAGGCTGTGCATTTGCATCACTTTGGTCCTTTCTCTGCTAGGCGCTGCGGGCCGGCTGCGAAACACCGGTGAACATGTGATGACCTCAGGCACACTGGTGGCCAGATCTCACCATAACCTGCTGGTTTGCCTGTGCCTGGCCTTCCAGCTACGCTCCCTGTTCTGGCGCGCTTCGTGCTCGCTTGGTGGAGAGACAGCAGAGCTGCAGAGCATTGCAGCACAGCCTGCCCTCGCTTTTACATCACTTTATGCTTTCCCAACAGAATTTCACAGCCTTTCTCTGAGGCTTTGCAGACAGGGTACGTTCGACAGACCAAAGTCAGAAAACAGAAGCCCTTGACGTTTTGGTGGTCCTGATCTCCAGTGTCCCAGTGCTGTCATTAGGGACGAGAGGCAGGTTGGCTGTTGTGCTGGTGCGGGACCAGGGGACGGTGTCGCAGTGAAAGCAGCGTGTTCCAAATGTGGACTCCGTGCTTCTCCACTGGGACCGAAGGCAGCTTTGCTGTGGGCTGAACAAGGCGCAGCTAATGGAGAAGCCAGCTGAGGAGGGCAGAGTAGTGGGTAAATGCTCAGCAAGACACGTGGAGAGGAGAGGCTGTATGGGAACAGCTGTAAGAAGCTTTGCAGAGGAGGTGGGTTTTGCGGGAGATGCGAGGTGAGGCAGGGCAGGAGGCTGCCGTGCTGGAGCAGCGGTGGGAGGGACACAGGGAGCAGAGGTGTTTGATGGAGAAGCCAAGGAATAAAGCGGGCTTTCAGAGCAGGCTGTGCATGCTCCGGCCGAGGAGGCAGGCAGAGGGTATTTCCAAGCTGAGGTGCCTGGGCCAAGCCTCGCTGCATCATCAGAGCAGCGATGTTGCCTCCAAGCCCAGCACTGACAGCTCGAGCACGTGTCACCAAACCGCAACGGGTAATGCAGCCACAAGGTGTAAATGTCACTAATGAATAAATTGCCTTGTGCCTTGGAGAGGCTAATCCATCACGGCCGGGGATGGGGGATCTGACAGGCTTGGCTATTTCAGGCATAGCCTGTAGGGAGGAGGAACGCTTTGTTTCTGAGCTGTCCCCTCCGCCTAGGGAAGCCGACACAGGACTCGGCTCTGCGCTGCTCCCTGGCTTCCCAGCCACATGAGCTCAGGCTTCATCCCTCTTCACTGCGACCGAAGGAAGTCATCCCTCTTTGCTGCGACCGAAGGAAGAAGCAGGAGAGGGTTGAGGTTAGCAAAAAGTGCCCTGTCAGCAGGGCGGTGCTTTGCCCCCAGCCAGGGCTAGCTGGTGAGGGAGTTTGGGAGGATGCTGCTGCACATGGGGCACGGGTGCCATAGGTGATGATGGGGTAGTGTGGTGGGTCCCCAGCGATCAGGAGAGCTTGCATCAGTTGTGTGGGGTGCAGGGCCGTGGCCCGCACCGTGCGTGTTTCAGGCCAGCAGTGCTTGACGCCGTGTTTTACAAATGTGCCATTTACTCCTCGATTCGGTTTCATAATTTGCCCCTATAAGAGGCGACCTGGAAACGCTCCAAGCTTGCCACAGCCAAGCCCTCACCCAGTCTGGATACAGCTCTACTATGCTGTCCTGGGGATAGCCCACAGGCCCCTCCATTTTCCCTGCTGCTGTTGAACCCCACCTGTGCAGAGGGCCAGCAGGTACCCGACAGGCAGGGACAGAAGCTCAGTGTGGACAAACCCAGCTCCGTGGGAGCAGAGAGAGGCTGAATGCAGCAGCCATACCCATGCACGGCCTCTGCCTGTCCCCACGGCAGCCTGCTCCTCTACCCCCAGTCAGTGCTCGAAATCAACCTGCTGTCCTGTTTACGACATATGTCAGTGTGACACCTTGCAAATCGATGCCTGGGTCGCTGTGAGCAG